ACCATTTATTTATTATTCAGCCTTTTAATTTAATTTTTGCGCACTTGGAGTAACTGCTTTAGCAGTGAGCAATTCATATAATCACATATGCTATGCAAACGGAGGATTCAACTCAGTCAGTCCTTTAGGACCATCCATATTTTAATTCAAAGAGCACCATAAATAAATAGTGATAAATGCAATTCAGCAAACCAGTGCGAGAGACCCTTCAACAGCAATCAGTGTTTTCACTTGATACCTCTTGATCCAAACCACAGAAGAAGAAAACCAAACCCTCTTTGAAGTAGAAGAGTAAATATTACCATTTGATAACACTTGGGCCTGACAGTGCAAATTGAATGGCATTGTGTCACATTCATCAACCCACTGCCTTTCCAACATCCACAGGGTTACCATGGAAGAGAGAGACGCTTACAATTCTTTTAACACTTCATCAGCTCAAAAGCCTCTGACAGAGCTTTCGGGACTGTTAACTTTTTACGCAATATATGTGGTAATATTGCCACACTGCTTTCAAAGAGTAGCTCAACCGCTGTAGGATTTTGCCAGATTTCACCTCAAAACATCTTGATATCCAATCCAAATAAAGAACTCAGCGTTAAAAATGTGACATAAATCATGCAAAGTCATTCTAACGATATGGCCAAGCTGCAGAAACCGTTTCCCACTGTGTTTAATTTCTAAAAAGAGAGGTGCCAGGACTCATTCCCCACTTAAAATCATAACTTCAGATCCGGAATGTATGCCTCACAGCCACTGAAGAGGAGGCCTGGCAGTGTCTATTCAGTGGAGAGAGGAAGGTCCTCTTTATATACTGAATGGCATTTTCTGCCTTAGGCCACATTCGTACCACACATTTAAAGCACTATTAGTGCTTGTAACTTTTCCCCAAAGAATCCTGGAACTGTAGTTTGTTAAGAGTGCAGTAAAGCCAAGGTTTGGCTTTAAATGTAATCTACACCCAGGCTCATGGTTAAGCTTTCTCCAGACCAACCACAAGTTGTAGCCAAAGTTTGTTCTGGGTTACAGCTCATGGAGAGTCTGGAGAGATTTTAACCAAGAGACCAGGTTTGGATGACACAGGATGCATAAGCAAAAACAGGGACAAAACGGCTTTATTTCACCCAGGTTAAAAACCCAGTTTGACACAAACACACACCCATGTGCACAGGCTGGGAGCCTCAATGGAGCCCCTCTAGAGGCTTCACCCAGGACAAAAAAAAAACCCCGCTAGTCCCACTCTCCTCCCCCATAGCTATGGTACTGACAAAAAGCAGCACACATGCTCATGCTAAGCCATGGTTTAGCTTAAGAGTGCAAGCCAGGTCAGTGAAGTATTCACTATAGCTCAGCAACCTTTAAAGCCAAGGAATTTCCATGGTCATAACCATTCAGGGAGGAGAACTATAGATGTGGCAATGTGGAAGCACTGTAGGAAAGAAATTAGAGCAGAAACGTAACTTGTGAACAAACCCAAGTGTGTCATGGAAGCTGTCACTCCTAGATGACATCATCATTTGTGGCACTTCTTCAGATAAAGACTACGTAGTATAGAGTTACACCCTTCAAGCAAGTTATAAATGCAGATTTCTTCACAACAGTGATACCCTCGGCATAAGATATTACAGGTTACACCATAAACCATGGCTGTGCCTTGACCCTTTGGTTAGTTTCACACTTTTTGTACACTTTCATTCCTCTTCCACATCCCAGATCACCAACCATACTTTTTGCAGAAGTTCCTGCCACTATATTGCAGAGCTGGCAATGGAAGGCAAGGCTTTATTCTGGCACATTTTCCTTCCTACAAACATGAAATAGCATGTGAGCAACTTTGATCATCCAGTGGCACTTTAATGTGCCTGCTTCTCAGTAGAACTACAGAGACCTGCCAGCGGTCTGCTGTGCGATTGCAATGGAAATAGTGGGGAGAGATGATGTCATATACCCATGGACACAGGAGAAGCAAAATGATGGAGGAGGTGCACTAAAAGGAAGGAGCTATGGAGCCAATCTTTGATTTAGATGAGGGAGGGGATGGGAGTACCAAGTAAATGTAGGGTAATTTAAAAGGCAAAAACTCAAGAAAATGCCAGACTGAGCAAATTCTGCTATGAGTAGTGAGCACAGTAGCCTTTTCAACTGCCAGATGCAGGTAGTAAAATGAAACCAGAGGACACCTCACAGATGTGTAAAATACACAAAATGAGAGAATAAGGCATTTTAATTCAACTGCATGAACATGGAGTGTGTGCATAGAATACATTATATCCTTTCAATGCATGATTTTATCCAGCAATTTCAAAACCTCAAAAATGGTATCAAATTAAATGGCTTTTTGACACTTATTTCACATTTAATTTATGAAGTGTTCCACACTCTCTATTGTTCTTACGCAATTATACCATGAAGACAAGAAGATTGGAATTCCCATCTGTGATCTAATAGGTGGCAAACTAAGGCTCAGTTCTCATGCAGATGGTAAACCTGTGTTTAGACTCTACCACTATGACTGGAGGGGTGAGCTTACAGAAATGGCTATTCCTTCATACAATAGAACGTTCATACAATAAAACACTGTACTACATTTAGAAAACTAGCCTGTCAGGCAGAAGGCTATGTAAGAACCCTTCTTTCATTTGGAATGGAAGAATTCTTTTTTTTAGCTAGAAGAGCTTTCAATAATGGGAGGAGCTCCCACCGCCAATCTCAATGGAAATGTCTATGTTTATTCCCCTTAGCTCACCCATGATCCCTTAGCTCACCCATGGTGAATGTCCACACCACACACCAAAGAACCCAAAACATTTGTTTGAAATGGCAATTTTAGGTGCAACTCTTGGTGTTTCATTTGCATCTCAGAATCCATTGCAGAGTGTGGGGCCAGTGTTCCTCATGATGCAGGGCCATCCCAAAATATTTTGCTGCCTGAGCAAAGGGCAAGGTATAGTGCCCTCCGCATTCCACAGACAAATGCCAAACTGACAGGTACCTGAATCTTGCCTGAACACAGGCAATAAGGGCATTCTCCTCCACTGCCCTTGAGGGCAGCAGACTAACTTGGAGGTCGCAGAGCAGATCATGTGGCACACACAGCTCTCTGCCTACTACTCCTCGCCCTTCAGCAGCTGTCATATAAGAGTACTGTCTCATATTGCCCAATGGTAGGGCCAGTGCTGATGTGGTGGCTTTAGTGTGCAGCAGCTGTGGCTGGAAGGCTGGAAGGTACTGGTGGGACAGAACTGTGGGAATGCCCTCCAGACTAGCCATGGTTCCTACCACAATGGCTGTGTTCAATCTCTACTGTCAGAAGCCGTGGGCCTCCAAATACCATTCGCTGAGAATCACAGGAGGACAGAGTGCTGTTGCATTCATACACTGCTTGCAGGCTTTCCACAAGCATCTAGTTGGCCATTGTGATGCTGGACCACACAGACCATCTGATTCCCCAGACGCTCCTGATATTCTCATGTTCTTCCTCCAACCTCCCTACAAGGTACCTGAACGGTGCTGGGCAAGGTGGCAGCAAAGTCAGGGATGCAGAGGTGCACTTGTGGCACCAATCCAGTGCTTCTACTGGTGAGTCTGCAGAGCCTTGATCTGTCCAGGTAAGCTGCCATGACACTGGCACCACCACAGCAGCTACAGGCTGGGAGTCAGCAGAAACACAGCTGCCGTATACAGAGGAGATTATGAGAATCTGAGTTGACCACTGTGAGCTCAGTCCAGTTCTTTATCCACTGGACATCACTGAAGTTACTATCCATGTTACTACCCATGTTCATTCAGCAGTTCAGCCCCATTGAGTTCTGTGGGACTTATCCCCCAAGTCAGGCTGCAATCCGAGGCAAGCTAACCTAATTCAAGGAGGATAAGCCTATCAATGACTGGTAGCCATGATGGCTATGCGTTGCCTCCATGATCAGAGGCAGCAATGCTTCTGAACACCAGCTGCTGGAAACCTCAGGTGGAGAGCATTGTGCTTGAGGGTTTCCCACAGGCATGTATCTGGTTGGCCCCTGGAGAACAGAATGCTGGACTCGATGGGCCGTTGGCTATTCTTATGTAACCTGGGAATAGGCACCATTAACCAAGGTTTCCTCCAAGGAAACTGCACACACCTAGAAGATTGTAGCCTGAGGCTCTCCTCTCAACACTGAGGACAGAAAGAGCAACCTTGCATGCCTATGCTTTAGATCATTTTATTTTTCATTGCCAGATCTCCTTGAAGAAGGCCACCTATTTCCCTCCAGAGGATTGCCCATTGCATCACAAGATGTGCACCCATGAGAGATTGCCAGGGTTTACCCTTAACATGTGGCTTGACACATTTTTGAGCAATCACAAAAACAACAAAATGTGAAATATGTTTTTTTGCAGCTGCACATATGAGATTTAATAAAGAGCTGTGTATTTTCTTTAAAAGGAAATGGACAAGAAGAGAAAGAAAACAGAAGTTTGAACCCAACACTGGTTCCTTTCAAACCATGGGAAGCATATTAATGGTATATTGCAGGACTAATTATTTGACTAGTCAGAGGCATTTATTGACTCAGACCGAACTCTCCTTAAGCCGCGTAGGCAGGCATGCCGTCATTACAAACCAGTACAACACAAACAGAAGATTACACCGTTGGTGCTTGCTCTCACTTTGTGCTGAGCGTGTCAAAAACGTCTTTTGTCTGGAGATGGGGGGGGGGCTCAGCTACAGAGCTGCGCTGGATGCGGGAAGGGAGTCTCACTACCCAGCCACAGGTTAAAGGAGACCACCTCTTTCTCCCAAACAATGGGGGTGGAGTTTGATCCCCTGATTCTTTTCAAGACCGCCCCCCCCGTTTTCCTTGCTCCCTCACTTTCCTTTCCCCGAATGCCCTTTCTCCTTGCTCTGAGATTCCTTCCTTTGTTAATTCACGCTTTCCCCACTCGTGTTCGCGCGCGTGTGTGTGTGGGAGACTCAAGCCCTGCTGGCCGTCGGGCCACCGACTCGCTCCATGGCTCACCTTGCTGCCGAAGGGCCCCGGCAGGAGCAGCTTGAGCGCTTGCCTCTTCAGCTCCACCAAGCGGGCGTTGCAGTTCTCGCACCAGACGCCGCGGTCGGAGCCCGGGGAGGAGCCCCCTCCGCTGCCGGAGCCCGGAGACCCCGTGCCGAAGCCCGGCGAGCCCCCCAGCGACCCGGGAGAGCTGTTGCCGATCCCCGGGGAAGCGGGGCCCGGCGACCCGGTGAAGGAGCCCGGCGACGACGTGCCCGATCCCGGGGAAGGGGTGCCGGACGAGCCCAGGATGGAGCCGGCTCCTTCCGGGGCTGGGCGGCTGCCGGCCCGGGATTCCTCGTAAGCTTTCCGGTACCAGCTTTCGGGCGAGAAGGGAGCCGCGGGTTTGGTCGGGGAGCAGGGGTCGTTCACCTGAGTAGAGAAGGGAAGCAGATCAGTGGGGGGCGTGGAAGGAGGGCAGCGAAGTTGCATTGATAGGAACCAAACGGCTCGTGGAGATGTTAGAGATTAACAATCACCCCAAGTCAGCTAAAACACCCCTCCGCGCATAGGAGCCCACTCCTAGGGGCCGAGGTCCCTTCGCCCTCCCCCTCCATAAAATATCTGAGCCCCCAAGTTGATGTGCATTGCCATTCAAACGATGTGCATGCCCCACATCGTGTGATCAATTATGCAGGGCAGGGCGGGGCTCACCTGCCCCCCCCCATATTTTATTCAAGTTGGCACCTTTGACCTCCAGGCACACCCGCCCCCTCTGATCTCCAAGAAGCTGGGGTTTTTTTTAAAAAAAAAGTCACCACCTGAAATCGATTTTCCCTGCAGAATTGGTGGGTGTGTGCGCGCACGTTTTTCCAATCCAAGCCCCCTCCATGGAGCGCTCTCTCTCTCTCTCTCTCTCCCTCCCTGGCGACCCCCCCCCCGCGCGCCCCTCTCGTACGTGGGCAAAAGCCCCTCGCAAGTCAGGTTACTGTATTCTATATACAGCGGAGGAGAGGAGAGATCCACGAAGCACGTTTCGCCCCGCAGAGCCGCCTGTCTAGGCGGAACCCCAGGCTGCAAAAGTTAAAGGAGTGCAGAGTCCATGGGCTGCTGCTGCTGCTGCCCGAGCGCTCGGCGTCTGCAGCCGCGGAGGAAGCGAGAGAGGCGCCCCGTCTCTCTTTCGCGTCCCAGGGGCGGAACCGGTTAAGACACCCCCGGCTGCCCCTTTGGCTTGGGGCACCGTGCCGCTTCTTCAGAAGGCGACCGGCTTGTTGGGGGGGGGGGGAATCCGTGTCCGCTCGCAGCCCTTTTGTGTGAAAGCCCAGCGCTGTCGATTATTATTATTATTATTGCAAGCATCCCTCCTCCCCCTTTACTTAAGGGCAACTTACCCCATATTTCCTGTTTCGGGTGCTGACCGCGATCCTCTCCTTATTCCCAGCCACGGAATTCATGGTGAGGGTGATGATCTCGGCGCCCGCGGCAGGATTTCCTGCAAATTTGTATCCAAGGGGGGGATTTTTTCCCCCCCCCAAATCCGGCAAGGTTCACGCACCAGCTGGAAGCAGCTCCGCACTTGAAGTCGGTTTCCCCCTCCCTCTGCCTTTCCAAGGAAAATACCACCAATAAAAATAAATCCCCGATCCCAGAAAGAAAAGGAAAAAAACGCTTGCCGGAGCCCCAAGAGAGGGTGAGATTGTATCTTTCCGCCCCCCCGTCAGATCATGTTTGCCCTCATTGTCTTCTCTCTCTCGTTTATTCCCACTCTGTGCGTTTGTGTGTGTGCAGAAATCCAAGGGATCGGCGTTCCCCAGTCTAAGCAGACAGCGCCAGTTTCCCTGCACAACTAAAAAGGAACAATCGCATCCAAGGTAGATTTTTAGCAAAAGGAGAGAGAGGGAGAGAAGCGGAGGACTGGCTGGGTGTTGCTGGAGAGGCAGCGTTTTCTCCCTCCCCGTTGCTACTTGGTGGTGGTGTGTGGCAACTTGTTTCCTTCGCCAAGGTTCGCCACGGAGTTAAAAGAAATCCTCCAAAAACCTCAGGATCCTGGCTCGGGGAGGAGCCTCCGCGAGGCTTGCAGCCAATATCTTTCTCCCCATTTTGGCCAAGCAGTTTCTTGCAAAGAGGAAAAGCTCAGCGCTCCTGGAGCTGCTGCCGCCGCTGCTGCTGCAGAAGCGACACTGCCAACAGCCACCTCTGAAAGCTGCAAAAACGCTGCCGGGGCTTAACTACAGGCGGCCGGCTGTTGACTGACTGTGGAGGGTCCATTTTCGTTGCAGTATTTCTTGACTGACATTTGTGATTTTTCTCTCTCTCTCTCAAATCCCTCCCTCCTAAGAGAAAGGGGAGGAATGGGCTTGCCTGCACCATAGTAGCTGGTTGCTCATGGTTGGCATTCAAAGGCACTAGTCAGTTTGGGTTTTGCAAGTGGTTTGGATGGGTGCTGGGGAGAAGGAGTAGGAAGCCATGCCTGACACCCCACCCACCCTACCTTCCTCCATACAGGACCTCATGCCTATATGCATAGACAAAAGGATCTCTGGATACCAAGTGGTTAGGAATAGCAAACATAAGATCTCAACACCAGGGTTTTGTTTTTGTATTTTAAACACTTCTGTTTCAGGAAGGAATGTGCGCACAGGTTATCCCAAAGTGCAAAAGACAACCATAATATTTCTGCAAGGTTTATCCCCAAACAGCTGGCGGGACATAGATCAGCTGCTAAACTTAGGACAAGATCCATTCGTTTGAAGATGCGCAGAGGGGCTTGTTTCAAGCTCCTCATCCATGACACCTGCCATGGGTGTAGCTAGAATATATTGGGGGGACGCAAGAACCTAGTTATCTGCAATGCAATTGGTCAGTTAGTTAAGTATTTTTATTGATTTTAGGGGGAGAGCTGCACACACCCACACTCCAGCTACGCTCATGACACCTGTATCCCAAATCTGCATTGCCTACCAGGAGATTTTAAAATGCTAGAAATCAATATATTTTGCAAAATCATTGTGTTGGTGGGGAAGAATCGGTGGCTCTGCAGCACCCAGCATTTCTGCCTTCTCAACCCTAGGTAGCCTTTGTTAGACCTGGACTGAAACCCACACCCCAGCGAGGTGAATGGTAAACATTCTGCACAACGGGGAGAGAGTGAGATGTTGTGGGTGGGTGCACATGCATGCATACAATTATATTTATATACCTGTGTGTGGTTTCCTGCAGCAACACAGAGGCTGGGATTCTCAAGAAACTGAAGTCCTGTCCCACACCAAATCTGTATGCCATACTAATAGCCCTGGCTATAATGGGATCTTGGCTTCCAGCCCAACCCCTCTCATGTCAGTGCTATGTAATGCATGGTGCATTTATTTCCTCTACATAATCAAAGCCTTCGGGCCTGTCTGCACATTGCAGTTACCACATGGAAACAATTTAAAATCACTCCATCTGGCACCTGTTATCATATTAATACTTAGCGTTTATACCACTTTAGTGTTCCAAACACTTCATACTCATTAGCTTAGCAATTGTTGCAGCAACCCTTTAGGACAGGCCAGGATTATTATCCCGCCTTGAGAATGGGGGGTTGAAGGTGAGAGAGAGTGGCTGGCTACCCAGTAAGTTTCCCAGCAGAGATTAACTCTGAACTGATAAGTTCCTGATTCACAGCTCCGTCTCTTAGCCACTGGGCCATTTTGGTGGTTAGTCATTTGTGTGGAATGCTCCATCACATGGGCCGGTTTTCTCCATGCTAGTTAAAAAAGAACTTTTCTTTTTTGTGCTTTTGAACCGGCGCCGAAATGATCCTTGCTGCTACACAGTGAGCCAGTTCACACACATATGGCTCCCCACAGGGTGGCAGATACCACATTGAGCTTTCTGCAGAGACTTCAGCGTGATGTACAAAACGGTCCCCGGTGTTAATTCCAACATATGTAACGTTTTGGTTGCCTGATCCCAAAGAGAATATCCTAGAGCTGGGCAAAATATGCAAAAGGGACAACTGCACGATGAAGAGGTTGGAGCAGCTTCCTTACAAAGAGAGGCTTTTACAAAGAGACAGCGTAGTGTAATGGTTAGAGTGTCAAGACGAAAACTTGGGGACCAGGGTTCAAATCCCTACTCAGCCAGGAAGCTCCTTGAGTGACCTTGAGCCAGTCACTGCCTCTCAAACTAACCTACCTCACAAGGTTGTTGTGGGGATTTAATTACAGAAGGTGGGAACTATGTATGCTAGAAAAGGTGGGAAATAAATGCAATAAAATAAAATAAAATAATGGTTGATGTGGTCACATAACACTGAATGAACTTACGACACTCATTACCAGAAGGTATTTTTTTTTAAAGGTGAGATTAGAATATAGAGGACATGCCTTATCAATCGTCTCCTTCTTCAGTGGCAGCATACTGTCTTGTCTTCTGGAGACAGATAAATGGTGAGATGGTCGTAATCCCCACACCTTCCTTGTGAGCTTCCCTGAGACCTCTGGCTTGCCTGCTTGGAACAGGATGCTGGACTAAGTGTCTCCCTGGTCTCACCCAGCAAGGCAATTCTTACAGCACATAGTATCGCAACACAGGTGCAGATGATGGTGTTTCTTCAACAGGAGTAGAAAGCAGGAGTGTCTCACGGTTGCTTCTGGCAGCCAACACACTGGAGCAGTGACTGCACCAGTCGACGATGCAGATGGCGCTGGTCGATTGTGCCATGATCCGGAAGTGATCAGTTTAAAGCCGACTCGCAGCACACATCTATTCATTGCATACCACCAGGAGGAAGCTGGCTTGATGAGTTGCATATGTACATGGCTGTTGCTTGCTCACTTGGAAAACCATGGATGTTGCACAACAGCTGTGTGAAATTATCCTCTGATCTTGTGTATATACCTGGTTGTGATAAAGGTACAGTTGGCTGACAGTTCTTTGACCCTCTCTAGATCAGACAGCCCGATATTAAAAACATTACCTATTTAAAATAGGCAAATATTTAGCATTTGTGCAGGTATGCTGCACTGCTAGACGAAAAGTCATGGAGGCTACATAGAACTTCCATGGTCAGAGGCAGGGAACCAGTTGCTGTGGAGCAACAGCAGGAGAAGACCTATCTCCTTGGTTTCCCAGAGGCACCTGGTTGATCATGGCATTCAGGAAGCTGCAATAGATGGACCTTTTGTCTGATCTATCTCCCATACTTCTTTTCAGGCTCCTTTGTTTAGTTTCCAAGCGTATTTTGATCTGCAAACGCTGTATTTTCCCTCTTGCAAAGAGAACCGTTGGGATATTAAGGCATGAAAGATGAAGCACTATTAATGCTGTGTTGTCTGGCTTGTGTTCCAGCATGGCCACTGTGAGCGTTTGCTTCATAGGCCACGGAATATAACTTTCAATTTGCTAGAATCAGCACTTCTCATGATGAGCAGGCAGGTTTGCTTTGTTCTTCATCAGCCCTTTAATTAACACACTGTTAGATGTCCCTGCCGAACTGCATCTGCTGCGTTGGGGATCATCAGATTGTGTGCAACGGTATGCCTACCATGGGAGATTGCAGGCATATGAGGATCAAAGCGGCCTGGGGCTGGGGGCAGCAGATTGGCCAGCTTGCTTGTAAATTCCAATTTGCAGGCTACCGCCTTGTCACACACCAGGAAGCACAGGAACGGCAACATCTTGGTGGCTGTTACCCTCAAAAGTTTGCCGACAAGGAACAGTAAGTATGCATGACACCCATTCAAACATGGTCAATGAGGCAATGTTTTACAGCTGACTGGCGGAGCAGGAAGCACAAAAGACTATTTAAACATCAGGTGGTTTCCACCATGGGGGGGGGAGGGAAATGCTTCAGGGAAATGGCAGCATCTACAAAAAAGAAAAGAGGAAAGACTGCCCTTCAAATATGTGTATTAATAGCCACCTACACCTATTAGGTATCACCAGGAATCATGGAGGGAGGTTACAGGACATGGTGCGCAGGAGTTTGACTGGGGGGGGGGGGACCAGGATCATCTGCAGCTTACCAGGGGAGGCCCCAAGGCAGTGCCGTCAACTCCAGGGGTTCCATGTCTTCTGCTAGTGCCTTCATTTAGGGCAAGCCAGTCCCATATCATAATACAGCAGCTGCTAAATTATTATTATCGTCATTATTTTATTTATACCCTGCCCATCTGGGCAGCTTACAACATATCTAAAAAGATAATAAAAACATCAATCCTTAAAAACTTCCCTAAACAGGGTTGTCTTCAGATGTCTTCGAATCTAGATGTTTGGCCCTCTGCCTGGTTCCTTGTAACTTTGCTTATCGCAGTGAGGGAACCAGCAAAAGACCCTCAGAGGAGGACCTCAGTGTCCGGGCTGAGCAGTGGGGGTGGAGACACTCCTTCAGGTATACTGGGCCATTTAGGGCTTTAAAGGTCAGCACCAACACTTTGAATTGTGCTCAGAAACGTACCAAGAACCAGTGAAGATCCTTTAGGACTGGTGTTATATGGTCCCAGCAGCCACACCCACTCACCAGTCTAGCTGCTGTGTTCTGGATTAGTTGCAGTTTCCAAGTCACCTTCAAAGGTAGCCCCAAGTAGAGCATATTGCAGTAGCCCAAGCAGGAGATAACTACTCTGGCGAGACAGTCCGCAGGCAGATAGGGTCTCAGCCTGCATACCAGATGGAGCTGCCCTGAACACAGAATTGACCTGTGCCTCCATGGACAGCTGTGAGTCCAAAATGACTCCCACGCTGCGCACAAGGTCCTTCAGGGGCACAGTTACCCCATTCAGGACTGGTGAGCCACCCACCCCCTGTCCCCCAAGACAGTACTTCTCTTTTGTCAGGATTCAACCTCAATCTGTTTGTCGCCATCCATCCTCCAACTGCCTCCAGACACTCACACAGGACATTCACTGCCTTCACTGGTTCTGATCTGAAAGAGAGGTAGAGCTGGGTATCATCCGCATATTGATAGACACCCAGCCCAAACCCCCTGATGATCTCTCCCGGCGGCTTCATATAGATATTAAAAATCACAGTGGAAAGGACAGAACCCTGAGGGAGCACACAGGTGAGAGCCCAGGGGTCTGAACACTCATCCACCAACACCACTTTCTGGACATGGCCCAGGAGGAAGGAGCGGAACCACTGCATGTCAGTGCCCCCAGCACTTCCTCTGGGTGGTGTCTTCTCCCCACTACGGTTGTAACCTGTCATATAGCTCATTGGGTAGAATGCTGTTGTGGCAGCACCAGCCACAAAATGAAAACGGTCCACCCGATGACACGTTATAACACATTTTGGCAGCAATGCACAGAAGGCACCACCTGGAGCTGTTTCAGGAGGCCATTTCGTGATAAATTCAAGGTGCAGAGTAGCCCTACTAGTAGTGGAAGCGGTAGCAGTAGCTCAGACATTCTAATCTGGGGATAATTCAGCTACGGCTTTCTGCCAGTAAGAATGTGCAAGCCCAGTTATTTAATAAGCATTTATCTCATCGTTCCTATAAAAATCAGTTTCAAGGCAGTTTAATGTAAGGAGCAATGAATAATTCATAAAATGAATGCGAGCGCAGAGAATCATTAAAGCAATGACCAAGACTCTGTCATTAAGGATCGGAATTCAACACCTTGATTCATTATTTAGGTTTGTTGAATTCAGAGGGCAGCAACTGGAAGGCAGGAAGCACCCCACGGCCGACTGTTTTCAGAGGGGCCATCTTGTTAATCCATACTCTCTAAAACAGAATGGTGTCAATAAAGGATCTGTGCAGAAATGCCCAAATTATTTGCACGGGTATACAATTCTATGGTCCCCCCGCTCAGAATTAAGGGAGATAACTTAACGATTTACCCAGTTAGGTGGGCCTTATTTTCTCATGATCTCCCTGAGATACCTTCATGTGCACTCACAGTGCTGCTTCTCCAGTTTGCCCTTGAACACTGCACTGTGGCGTGTGTGAATGCAGCGAGCAGGTGGACAGGGCTAAGCAAATGGGCTTTTTCCACTCAGTCACGGAGCAGTTGCTACATTCACATGTTGCCTGGGGCCCTGGCATCACACCATAGGAAAGCGTCTGAGAAGGAGATTTGCACTGGAATGGAAAAGTGTGGCACTTGGTCATATATGCCAATATCATGCAATAAGTGATTATTGTCTCCATCTGAAGGTGGTTAAAATGCCAAGCTCCCGTCTGTTCTCTAGGCTGGCTCAGAGCTAATCCCGGAGGAACGGCAGAAGCATATGGACACTGTTAGCACCTTTTCCAAAGTCTTTGGCTCCCCTTCCAAAGGTATTTCTGAATTAACCAGCACTAGCTGGTGACACGGCGTTGTTATCGGCCACATGGTGCTATTTGCCTGGTTGCAGCATGAGTGAACCTAAAAAGTGGCGTGGCAAATCTAAAAAAAAATGTTGCCCATTTGTCAAATTGGGATGGAAATGATTTTAAAAAATAATAATCCATGGAGAGATTTTGTGGGGTATGAGCGCCCTCTACTGGTAACGGTATGCAATACATCTAGAAATATGGCAATTCATTATCGATACATGATTTCCTCAATATAGAAAGGATACAGCAGGAGACAGGCATGTAAACTGTTGCACTCTCAGCAACATTTTAAAAGAGAGACTACCACTAGGTAATGATTGAATTGATCTACTAGTGTAGACACACTAAAGCAACTTACAATCATGGTCCAATTAATGCAGTTGTTAATGGTCTGCTAATGTGGCGCTGTGGGTAAAACCTCAGCACCTAGGACTTGCCGATCGCATGGTCAGCGGTTCGAATCCCCGCGGCAGGGTGCGCTCCCGTCGTTCGGTCCCAGCGCCTGCCAACCTAGCAGTTCGGAAGCACCCCCGGGTGCAAGTAGATAAATAGGAACCGCTTACCAGTGGGAAGGTAAACGGCGTTCCGTGTGCTGCGCTGGCTTGCCAGATGCAGCTTTGTCACGCTGGCCACAAGACCCGGAAGTGTCTGCGGACAGCGCTGGCCCCCGGCCTCTAGAGTGAGATGAGCGCACAACCCTAGAGTCTGGCAAGACTGGCCCGTATGGGCAGGGGTACCTTTACCTTTAATGTGTGTGTGTGTGTAATAAAATTTTTTAATAAAAGGAATTATTTAATTAAAATAACTGCATTAACATTTTAGCAATGTGTCAGACCTCACACCAGTTCTTAGTGAAAGACAGATGAAGTTCTTCATTCAAATGAACAACTAAAACGATTAATTTCGTTCATGTATTCCTGCATTGCAGGGGGTTGGACTAGATGATCCTCAGGGTCCCTTCCAACTCTACA